AATACATATTTAAAAAGAAGAAAAAAAGAATCCAGCTGGGATGATGTATAACAATATAAATGTACCCTAAACTCATGTAACAAAAGTATATATCTACTTATGTATTCTATGGTGTGGCCTTCATTGACAATATACTTACATGTTTCTGAATGTGAAAAACCTAATAGTTGATCCACAAATGAACCAAAGTCTCCAAAAAATAAAAACGTTATACACAACATTATTATTCAAGTATTTTATTGAAGAATTCTCGAACGCTTATTTTCTAAGACAAGAATTCTAGTCACTTTAAATGTTACAAAAATCATCCACTCCTCATTACTTTATTGCTTATACATTATGATATACAAAACTAAGTAAACTCAAACATAATTTACATTATATTCTGTACGAATGCAGAGTTGGGTCTCTCAGGTCTCTCAGCCGTTCACACACACGCACACACACACACACACACAGACGAAGAGATCGCTATAGGTCTGTGTGGTCTCTGTATGAAGCCTACCTGACAGCTGACGGAGTACTTCTAATGGCTTTTCAGCAAACTAACCACGACAAATATATTCAGGATGATGTGAGCGGGGCAGATGCTCAGAAGTGGCCTCTCCATCAAACTAATCACTTCCTACAAGTGACGGGACCAATCTGGGACCAGCTATAGTTCAGGAGGTCAAAACTAAGTCCATGGACCAGTTTCCCCAGATTTATAAAGTGCCGTTGAGCAAGGCCGTTTGCAAAGTTCCAAAGCCGTACTGTCGAGATTGGGGAGACTGCTATTGGCACAGAATGGCGAGCAATGTCTACCACTCCGCCCCAGGGCAGATAAGGTGTGAGATTCTGCATTTTCGTGTTATTTCGTGCAGGAAATTTTAAATCATGATATTGCTTTTTGTGCAATATTTAATCATATTAGTCATTCTATTTGTGTGTTTACTGTATTGATGGCTTAGTAACACAAATAGGTTAATTGACTTTCAGATCAAAACCAGAGAACTGAGAAGCCTGGCCTCATCATTCGTCATTTGCATTATAGACTTTAGATTTCCATGCTTTTGTTGTCGGAATGTGTACTTTTTTGAATGCAGGATTGGACAAGAATTCTTTTGACTATATTCACAAATACAGAGAAATGGGCTGGGTCGGTGAAACAGTCATTTGAGCTGAAGCCACCAATGTAAAATGATAAAGGACTACTCCAAAGTGAAAGAATGAGAAGTTATTAAAGGTGCTTACTTAATAACTGTTCTTAGGCTCTGAGGTTCTTGATCTCAATGGGATTTTTCCTGGTTACATAAAGGTTAAATCAAAAACTGTTCACTTCTCATACATAGATCCATTTAATTTGATCCATGTGATATTGACCCTCATAATACTGTGATAGGAGCTGCCACAAAGACATATTGTTTTTTTTTTTTTTTTTTTTTTTGCAGTGAGTAAACACCAATGTACCACACCAAATAACCACACGGTGTTACTTTTGACACACTTGGTCCTGCGTCCTGTGACCTACAGCGTTGTGTGTATGTGCTAAACTGTGCTATTTTTAGTTGCGGTATAAAAAAATGACTTTGAAGCGGAGCAAATTGAGTCTGAGAATAACCCGCTTGCTGTTGAAACGATCCAAAGAGGAAACAATTTATTTGAGCATTTGTCGAGGAGAGGTTGAACTTGTAGGTCAAATGTTTTTCACCAGAGCAAAATGGTAACACAAGAGGGATTGGCAGCTTCTCTAAATCCCCGTATGCCTTTGAACAAACCATCTGCTAATGACAGCCTTAAGATTTGGCTGATAAATTATAGGTGCAGGTGTGTGCGGCCTTTGTGAATGCCAAAGCCGTCGCTGGAATGACCACAGCGAATGAGGATGGAGGCGAGGAGACCAAACGGGAGTGTTAATACTCAACTATGACTTTAGATCTGCCCTTGAGATTTATTGAGCTTGTAGGAGCGGCATGGACAAGATGTATAGAAGTTGGAACAGCAGGCATTGTGTAAATAATGGGATACTTATGTTGTGAGTTTTTTCAACAATTTCACACAAAATCAACTCAGGTTTTTTTGTGAGGTTGTACTTGTGAACTGCATTGATCTCAAATCATCTCAAATCAACAGTTAAATTTGTACAAAATGCATAAATTACTTCATGTGCATTTCATTTATATTGCAGTGTCATCTAAAACACATTAAAATTGTTTTTTTATGTCATTCATTTGGCCATATTGTCCTCTCATTGTTATTTATTCATCTATGTAAAAAGCTGATTTCTGTAGTTTGGTTATAAAGCTGGAGCACTTGACTTTTTTGGTTTCATAAATACATTTGGTTTGTCAGAAAACAGAAAGAGGCTTTATAATAAAGTGTCATTTTAATAATATTTTGAAATTAGACCACAAACGGACTGTCTTCATCTTATTAGAAAACATGCTATTCTTTACATACTGAGAGCTGGTCGGCTGAGTAAGGGTCCTGTATTTTTCACTACAAAGAACCAAACGGTTTTGAGATCAAGGAACTAGTTACTAGGAATGTATCGCATTGTTCTGGTTTCCAATGTTATGTCAACTGTGAAAGCCTAAACATGCATCAAATCAAGAGGTGCTCACACTGCCACACTCCTCACCCATTTCTCTGCTGCCTTCAAAGCCACTTAGAAAATGAATAAACTGCACTCTATCAATCAGCCCTTCAATAACCACTCCTCAACACATCTCTCAGCACCAATCCAGGCATCTGACTGCGACCCTGCCCACCTGTGTTCACAGTTTGACGTCTATCATCACTATCTGTCCGATTATGCTGTGATGGAGGGTAGGAGGAAGAGCCAGTGAATCATGTCCCATACACACACACACACACACACACACACACACACACACACACACACACACACACACACACACACACACACACACACACAGCTGGGCTTTAGTCTGAGGCAGCACACAGTAATATGAACTCATACCATGCCAAGCCCCTGGTCCCATAGAGGAGCATTACCATTAACGACCAGCTTGAAGCAAAAACCTTAGAAGAAACTTAAGACAATGCATGAACAAGACACAATAAAATGAATGTCTGGACGTTAAGAATTGCATTTGTGACCACCTGACCTGTACTATAATATAGTCATTTGACATGAAAAATCTAGTAGTCTCTTCTCTGTGCAGCCACACCTTTGCTAATCTGTAAGTGTTCAGTCCACTCAGAGGGGAAGGGGACATTTTTAAAAGGCTCTCTCTCAACTGTAGACAGCAATTCAGATACTACAATTACATTTTTTTTTATTATGAAAACTGTGCCACAATTGAGAAAGTAGTGATTTTGCTTGCACTTGTGCCCTGTTTGGATTGACTTTAACTATGTTGATCTTTTATCTGACGCATGGCTCTTACAAATAGTGAATACCAGGCTCAAGGTGTGTGACAGTAAAGTGCCTGTCCTATTGCAGAGGCTGAGGCTCAACACTATTGATTTTGCTTTTGTAAAAGTCACTAAATGAAGGGGAAATGGGAAGATTTTATAACATCCTTATCCATCACTGGTCGCCTGTGGTCGTAGGAAGCTAAAGCGTTGCCTCGGACTCACTGTGAGACTAATGATCCAGGCTTTCATGTCTCCTACATCGCAAACAAACAGAATCTTGCAGTGGTTCCACTCGGCAAATAAAGATTAATCCCATTTCTGTTGTAAGTAAGGGCTAAATGAATGTGCAATATTTATTGAAAACAAATCCCTTTCAAAATAACACCATTAAAGATAAAATAAGCCTCATAACTTAAGCCTTGGTTTATACATTCATATTTATTGAAAACCAATTTGCATATAGAAAAATGATTGCAGCTGTAATGATAGCAGGTGTAAATGTTCAAATATATTAGTCACACATCAAGTCTCTGCCCACTCAGATCCCCTCTCGTGGACTGACTGTGCTCTATCATGGACTGAGCGCGTCAAATGGTGCTAAATGTTTCTCATGAGTTTATTGCTAACTTTGGATACTCCTGAAGTGAAGGCATTTTATTGCTTCTTCCTTTCTGTCTTTCACACATTCATGGATTTATGCATCTGTTATAAAGGGGCTATATGTAAGAGCTTTCCATTTGGGCTGGAAATCACATTTTACAATCTTTCAGTGTTCTGGTGCATAAGTTGCAGGTCGACTGGTCATTTTGCCTGGAATGTTCCACAGTTCATTCAGTGAAAAGAGACTTAAGCTGGGGGGCTTCACTTTTCATGTCACAAATAATAAATTTTGTTTGTCCCAACAGAAAAAGAGCAGTGTAAAAAATAAAATGTTGAGAACAAATCAGACCACAACACGCTGTCTTTATCTTCTCATAAAACGTGTTCCATTTGAATGACTGTTTGAAGCTTTGGGCTGAGAGCTGATTGGTTGAATGGTCTTGTCCCTTTTCTTCTGGCTGATTTAAAGATCTGACAGAGGCCAAGTACATAAATGTTAAAATAGAGATAGAGCTGAACTGTTATGAGCCAAAAAATATTTCACTATTCAATTTTTTGTAGTTTGAAAGTTAAACACCCCAGCTTTAATGTGAGTGTTATCACCTCTCCACAGATCTGACTTGTAACTTGCTCTGGTGTAGTGGTCTGCCTGTCTTCATGAGGATAAAAACATCAATAATATCTCCACGAAGACGTGCAGGTGGTGGAAACTTCACCATGAGTTAAAAACGAGTCTATATAGTCACACTTTTTAAAATCTACTACACAAACTTTAGCTAAAACCAGATAATTCTCTGCAGATGAAACCCGAACACCAACATCCCATTCAGATGTGGCTCAACATTTATAATGAACTTTACGTGGGCACTGCCACACTGGAAGACTTCAAAGCACGTTCCTCCGATCTCGTTAGACTGAATATCAGTACTTCATATAACCCCTTTAATCCAGAGATACGATAATGAGCATGAGTGGATAACTCCGCAGAGACACAGTCTGCTCTGTGGTCACCTCAGAGCTCTCCCACAGACCCAGAGTCACACCTCCATACTGGGCTTGTTCAGATCTCCATTCCCTGTGTTAGCTCCGCCTCCCCCGCCCCCTCGGTCCTCCCCCTCATCGTCACTATCCAGCGTCTCGCCCTTCCTCTTGGTGTAACGTTCATACAGCACCATGAGCACGCCCATGACCCATGCCGACACCGTCCCGGCGGAGAATATGACGAAGCCGATGGCGATGAAAAACAGGTAGTCCCAGTATCCCAGGCCCTGGTGGCAGTCTGCCCGCAGCTGCATGCCCACCTCTGCCAAACGCTGTCCTGCCACCTCCGGGGGGTTGTGGCACATCGTCTGACCCTCGTCTGGAAGAGAGAGAATGGACAGGGCGTGAGAAGACACACAAAAACTGCTGTGCTACAATATCTACTTCACATCTGTCATCTTCAAGTTTCTAGCATCAAGACATTTTGACCCTATTCCTAAAGTACATTTCAAATTTGAAAATGATTGATAGTAAATTGATGGAAAAATTGCTCCAAATTATGATTAAATGAGCACAGAGCAATATATTTGGGGACTGGTCCTGCAGATACCATAAAGAGCATTTATGCAGAGCAGCTACAATGTAGAGAATGACTTCAATCACAGGTGATGAATGCTCTTGGTGGAGGTCAAGTTGAGGGGGGTTGTGGATGAAATGAGTTTTACTGCTTTAATCAACATGGAGCAACCGTTTATCATGAAATAATTAGCGTTTGAGCTAATGTAATTAATTTATGAAATCGCTGTAATATGAACAATAGCCAAGCCTACTTTGATAGATTTATCTCAGAGAGCCACACAAGCAGAAGTTAGCAAAGCTCTGATAACCTTAGTGATAAATGCTCCCTAGAGACAATGGATTTCCTCTGAGTAATGTAGGTCTTTGAGGCTAGGACATGGCAACATTATTATTCTGCAAGCACATTCTCACACATGCATCTAAAAGGTGATCTGGATGCATCAACCTGGAAACCCGTCCACATGAAACACCATCACAGATAAGAAGTGTTTTCACTGATAAAACATCTGTGGTCCAAAATTAGGAAAACGATAATCTGTCTCTGAATACAACACCGAACACAGTTTTGCAAATAATTCTTATATCTTGAGAATTTCACAGTTGAATTTTGCTCTGATTTTGAAATAGTACTGAAGTAGAAATAGCTGAATACTATTAGTAGAGCAGATGATACAGTTTTTCAAGAAAACTCATGTAACATGAAGAAAACAAAAAACTTACTATATCATAATGTCTGTTGTCCAAAAATGCCAGAGGAAAGGAAAGCACACAGAATTATCAATGGATTCTTATTTTATTCTTCTTCCTAAAACATAATATTTACATGAGAATTACTGGTCTGATCATGCTTTTTTGACAAGACAAGACACGTTTTTGACAAAAAAGTGATAGTGAAAGCATGAGTTCTGTCTGATTAATTACTGCTGTTCAGTACATATTAAACTGCACTCATGGTCTCATAAAGCTGGAGGTCCGCACATGTGGATGAGAGATGAGACAAAGATGAAGAAGGCCCACAGAGGACCTGCCAGGCTTTAAGAACATTATACTACAATCAAGATGGAGGAAACCAGAGCTGCCAAGTCTGGCTTTTGCACAATATGTACTTAATTCTCTAAATTAACTTTAGACATGAAGAAAAGCTTCATACTATATAAGCTGAAGATAAAGAACAGTCAGGGACTCATTTCTTACTTTTATTACTGACAGTAAAAAGAAGTCATGATGAATGTTTTTGAGCAACATATTTCAATATTACAATTTGGGACAGGTGCAGCTAGAAACCCGGTACAAAATTCCATTTCTTTCTAAAAAATTGGAGCCTGCAGCTTATAATCAGGTGCGGCTTATAGTCCAGAAAATACAGGACATGTTTTGGTCATCTTTAAATCACAATTTTAGTTTCATACCACAACCCTCTCGCCACATTGTTCATTTGGCTGGAGTTGGCTCTGCACCTGGACCTCGGGTCAGATCTCACCATCTGTGTGGCTTTGGCCTGGTCCTCCTTTTCTCATTATCCACCAGGTGTTCCCCTCATGCACGGCGGCCCCCACTCATCAAACTGTAACGCTCCAAAAGGGACCAACTTTTTACAATCTATCCCCTGGCAGTCGGCAACTGATGCACATTGGTCTTTAAGAACCTACTAAGTGAGGATTACTGAAACAGTTGAAGAGTTGAAGAATATTGTACAATGAGCAGTTTGTGTACTGAAAAATGGCTAAAATTACAGCAATAATTGAGTAGCTAATTCTGCCTCTGGAAGCCTTTTCTTTGTAGAGTTTTGCATGTTCTCCCTCTGCCTGGGGAGGTTTCCTCCGTGTGCTCCGGGTTGCTCCAGGTGATCCGGTTACTTACTTACTGCTTATTTTTTGTTATTTATGTCATTAAACTATTACATTTAAATAAGAAAAGTAAAACTAAAGTTTCTCCACTTATCTTGATGCCTACTGCAGTTGTAAAATATGTTTTTTACATGACGAGTCCAGGACACATTTGGACGTGTACGTGACTTTAACAGTTTGTTAGTCAAACATAAGGTTTGTGAATGACTTAAGTATATTTGACATTACTAATTGCGACTAGAAACATTGTGATTCCGATTTGGTTCCCATCCCGGTTCTCAGCCTCCCTGTTTTCACCTGCGTCTTGTTGAAGTCCGGACTCTCGCTGTTGGCAGTGCAGGCCTGATCTGAACTCTGTGCCAAACGCAGCTTCTAATTCCCCAGCATTTTGGCAGGAGCCGTTTGAGTTGGATTTAGACTTCAGACCCAGAGATAAATGGAAAAAGTTTTAACTTCTTGTGTTTATATGAGCCCTCAGATGACCTGTATGTCCTAAAAGGGTTTCTTTTAGTTGTGCTTCGATATTCAGTCGACTATTAAGAGAAAGTGCTCTATTTAGAGACACAGCGTTGGTTAGGAAAAATACAGTAACAGACCATATGTATATTTAGTAACAATCAGATTAAGCAAAAAAGCATGTATGGTTTCAAAACAATGAGACGTTTGACCATAGGGATAAAAAAGCTAACTTTATTTTTTCTCTACAAATAGTTGTAAATAGTAGGAAAGCTATCAAGGAATGTGTGTCATTGAATGCTTGTACTCCAGATGTATGCTCTCTGGACAAGATATGCTGCAGATTTAACATTATTCACTCCACTATTTATATATGTTTACAAATGATAATCATATGGATGTCATCTGGTCAACTTTTGCGATAGAAATATATCACACAAAACCCAAAGAGCTGGGAAAGCTGGTTCCATAGACCTGTACAATAACCCAACATTCAGCCCTCTGTCATGAGCATGTTTAGTGTGACAAATGCCGCCATCTGCACGGCCCTCTGTCCTCTAATGAGAACGATTTCAAACATAAATCACTACTATTCTCCCAATCACAGCATCTGCACAAGGTGAAAGGCAATGTATATTTCCACTGTTTTAACATTGAGTGAGCTGTTGTCCAAATAGACCAGTGAGACGTGCGCATCTGTTCAGTTTAGTTAATGTCGAAAGATTAAATTAGACGTCACAAAACACACAAATAAACGGTATTCATTTCACTAACACATGCTGCCTGTTTAAAGAGCTCACACGCGGCTCTGGTTTCAGAGAAAAATCTGCATTCATTACTTTCTTCAGAAGTTTTGAATAATCCAATTGTGAAGAGTTTGAAAGAAAAACTGAGATAAGCAGCATTGTTTCTTTAATCATGAAAAGCACATTTAAAATTCAATCTAATGTTTTGCAACTTTGACAAAGTTTTAGAAATAGCATTATTCAATAATTGGTGTGTTTTGATCCGGTTGTTTCTATACCATCGAGGAGTGACTTGTCCACAGATTTGCCTGCGATGCAACCTGTTTATCCCTTTAACATTCACTCCTGTAATGTAATTTTTGTGATTTTATAGATGTAGGACCCTAATAACATAAAGAATTAGTTTTTACCCCTAGTTTTTGTTCATCATAGGTCTTTACCAAACGGTTTAGATGCAGTTTGAGAGTAAAAGTGCCTAAAACCAAGTGAGTAAATGTAGTGACTCAAAAGGTGATCTACCAAGTGGTTAAGGAAACTATTAGAGGGTTACAAATAAAATAAACTTTATTGATCGCACAATGAAGAAATTGACAACATACTGTATGAAGGCAAGGTATAAGGTCTATGCTTCTAAATTTCAGGCCAATATCTTCACAGGAACAAACATTAACAAACATCGATTTTCATAGAATACCAAACATGGACGAGTTTGTCCAGATGAGCGTCTGATCTGAGATGGGAGAAAATCGTTTGTTTTTGTGGAGGACACAGAGGAAGGTGATGATTCACTCTCCCGTCACTGTCTGCTGCTTTGTCACTTATCGTCCATTCGCACCATCACTCAGGTTAAAAGAAACGCTCAATCTGGCAACCTGCCCTTGACATTTTCAGCATTTGTCCACCGTTTACACAAGAGTAATTCTGCCTCTTAATCATGCATTCATTAAATATGATTTATGATTTATCTTATTGCCTCTGACGACACGATGCAGTGATGGCCACCCTTAACTCGAACTTAATGCATTTCACATTGTTTCAATCTTGTTTTCAGATGGAACTTTCCTGGGGGAGGGTTTGATTTTCACTTGGGTCTAAATGTCTGTTTGCATGAAATGTTCAACGATTGGCTTTAACTTCTACATCTGCACAAGAAAGTGACTTAACTAGGCCCCAGTGCAGGTCATATCTGAACCCTCCGATTGGAGGGGCTGAAGGTGGAATCCTCTATCAATTTCATTTGTGGGTTAACATTTCTCAGCAATACTTAATACGCTTTTTACAGTCAAACAACACTCTTCTCACATACATGAATTTCATTGCAAATGCTACAAAAACTACAACTTGTGTTTAGTTCATTTACTCCACTTTATGTTTCCCCAGATAATAGGTCAACATGTACAAATCTTGGCCTTTTCTGAATAAAGGTTTAAACTGGACTTATTCTTAATTAAAAATACAATGAACATGATTTCCATAAAAGTTTACAAGCAGATTATCTAATTAGAGAGCAGGAGAGCAGAATTAACCTCTCATTTTTTATTATTATCAACCAATTCACTAACAAAAAAAAGCACTGCACATATTTATGTAATACACAGAGTTTGTACAATAAGTCACTTTATGTCACTTGCATTAGGACTGAAAAAACCTGCACTATTAATGACACTGTTTCTTGATTGCCACTTTTGAATTTCCACTTTTTATTGTACATAAATTATCCTGCATTTAACATGTTTGGTCATTTCTTTCTT